ATGGTGAGCTTTGGAGGAAACAAAGGAAGACTGCTAGCTTTGAGTTTGCTTCAAAGAATTTAAGGGATTTCAACACTGTGGTTTTTAGGGACTATAGCCTTAAACTCTTTAACATTCTCAATCAAGCATCTTTCAAGAATGAGCATGTAGACATGCAGGTGAGTTGTTGAATTCTGTTTGGACTTAAATACAATGATTAAGATATTCCGCTTTAATGTGATGGTGTTTGACTAAGCACAGAGTTAAAAAAAATTGATAGACTTTTGAAATTAGTGATTTATGACAAATGTGTAGTCATTTGTGCAAATATAAATCTTATCATTAAGTGGTTGTTTGGTAGAGTGCATAAGAATAGTACTGAATAAAGTGTATTAGTAATGTTGAGATTAGTTATGTTGGGATTACTTATTCTGGGACTGGGATTATTTCTTATCCACTATTTGGTTTGGTATAGTAAAGGTTGTTCTGTCTTTAATCATGCTTATCCATGTATGAATAACTCGTGTATTACTAATACCATGATTTGCTATGTATTATACATATGTTGTAAATCCTATCAAACAAATAATCAAATAAAACCACAGGTAATACATGTATTTTTTTTTTTAATACATCATATTATACGACCCTAAGGGTAGAATTAGAAGTTTAAAGTTAATTTATTTCATGTTGAGTCCCACATTGGTGCTTTGGAGGGTGATGTGGTTTTTTTATATAGTTTTTGACAATCCTCATCTCAATAGGTAGCTTCTGAAGTTGAGGCCCAAAATCAATTTCTTAATCATGACATTAGAATCAGGCCCATCTCGATTTTTTGTTTGCCCAATGTTGACTTCCCATCTTATGTTGTCCACGCTCCAAACGTCCACTCTTCAACATGTGAGGGTGTTGAGTCCCTCATTAGTGCTATAGGGGTGGTGATCCCAAAGTCCATTTCTTTTTCATTTAGAACAGACTAAAAAGAAAGGCGTATCACATAACACAGGACATAGGAAGTACAATTTTATTCTCTTTTTTTTTGTATTGTTGCTAAACAACAATTATTTTTTCCAGGATCTGTTGATGAGGATGACTCTAGACTCAATATGTAAGGTGGGATTTGGTGTAGAGATAGGAACATTGAATCCAAATTTACCAGAAAATAGCTTTGCAAAGGCATTTGATGCTGCAAATGTCATTGTCACACTAAGATTCATTGATCCTTTGTGGAAAATCAAGCAATTTCTCAACATTGGATCAGAAGCCATCCTTGATCAAAGTATTAAAAAAATTGATGATTTCACATATTCTGTCATAAGAAAAAGGAAGGCAGAGTTAGAAACAAATGGCAAAGTAAGCTCATACAAACTTTTTATAATTATTGTTTACCTAAATTATAGTCTGTTTCGTCAAGCTTCTAGACAGTCAAAACTACTTATTTTTAGAGAGTTAAGGTATTTGTCCAAACTTTTTGAAAAAATAAGTGTTTCTAAGCAGCAGCAGACACTTTTTTTTAAAAAAGCGCGAATTGTTGTTGTAGTATTAAATTGTTACTCTCCAAAAGTACTTTTTCAAAATAAACAGTTTTCTCGAAGTTTGGGCCAAACAGGCTAATATGATTTTTTAAACATTAACAGATTAATAAGCATGACATATTGTCAAGATTCATTGAGCTAGGAAAAGACCCTGAGAACAATATAACTGATAAAAGCCTGAGGGACATTGTCCTGAATTTTGTCATAGCGGGTCGCGATACGACAGCAACGACTCTGTCTTGGGCTATATACATGATTATGACTCACGAGCACGTAGCTGAGAAGCTGTACGCGGAGCTGAAGTCGTTGGAACAAGTCCGTGCCAAAGAAGAGAACGTGTCGTTGCATCAGTATGACGCGGAGGATCCTGAATCTGTCGATTCGAGAGCCATTCAATTTGCAGGGCTCCTGAATTATGATTCATTGTCAAAATTGTACTATCTACATGCTGTGATTACAGAGACTCTTAGATTGTACCCTGCTGTTCCTCAGGTTAGTTACCCTGATTTTATCAATTGGATAGTATTTAAGCAGGGGCGGAGCTAGAAGCCTGAGTACGGGTTCGGCCAAACGTCTCAGTTATTTTTGCTCAAATAGTGTATATGTATTAAGAAGTTTATTAAATGTGTACAAGTATTAAGTTTACAACAAAGTTACTGTTATAAAATTTCGAATCCATAAGGTTAATATTCTTGCTTGATGAGGAGTTTAGAAAGAGGAACTTTTGATGATAGTGGGGTTCGAACCCACAACTCTAGGTGGGAAAGCGTTTCCATGACCCCTTCCTTACTACTGAGCCATCAATCAGTTTTGCTAGGGAGTTCACAAGTTAATATACATATATTTATTTGTTTAATTTTCTAATACAAATACATATACATGATCTACGAAAAAACTACTAAGTTCATTCGAACACCTGAACCCTCAGTTAGCTCCGACTGTCTCTTTTGTTGTAATGTAGGTTAGTATCGTTTTTATAGATGCATAGAACTTTTGATTTAAATTGGTATAAACACTCCGTGAATGATTTTGTTTTAATAATGTGACAGGATCCTAAGGGAATATTGGAAGATGATGTTCTACCAGATGGAACAAAGTTAAAGGCAGGAGGAATGGTGACCTATGTACCTTATTCTATGGGAAGAATGGAATACAATTGGGGTTCTGATGCAGCATCATTCAATCCTGAGAGATGGCTTAAAGATGGGGTTTTCCAAAATGCATCTCCATTCAAATTCACCGCTTTCCAGGTATATAATATAAACAGAGCGGCTCAATAAAATTAGTGGTCTAAAGTCAAATCATAATAAGAGGTCTTTTAAACGTACATTTTGTTGAATCAAAAGGACTTACTTTTTTATCTATGGATCAACTTAACGAGACAAAAGAGATATAACATATATCAGAAAAACTAACAACTTCAATAAAGCAATGTTTCCAATAACCTTACCTTAGAGTCGGCCCCAACGAAGGGGTGAATGTACAATTAAAGCTATCGGCTTAGCTGAATTCAATAGCTTTGGCTTAAAACCCTATGGTTGTGTTAAGTAATCTACTAAATACATATAAAGTAAATTGTAGTAATAGAAACTCAAATGATGTGTGGCATTCTGAAACCATAAAATTAAAATTCTGAATCTGCCTCTATCCTTACTAGTGGTCTAAAGCTACCAATATATAATACTATATGTGTACAACCACAGGCGGATATCCTGTAAGGGGTTCATCCAAACGCTCTTCGTCAAAAAATTACACCATAAATACCAAGTCAAAACTATGTTTTATGCATATATACACTAAAATATTGAATCTCATTGACTTTTTCAATATTTATTTCGTTATATTTTGAATACCCATAATGAAAATCCTAATTCCGCCGTACTGATAAGTACATTTTTCATGTCATGGTGTTGTAGGGAGGGCCAAGGATATGCCTAGGAAAGGATTCAGCATATCTTCAGATGAAAATGGCACTTGCAATTTTGTGTAGATTCTATAAATTCAAGTTGGTGCCAGGCCATCTAGTCAAGTACAGGATGATGACCATTTTATCAATGGAACATGGATTAAAGCTTACAGTTTCACTGAGATCTTGAAAATACAAAATGTGTAAATGTTTATGATGGCTAGATTTTAATTGCAAATTGTAACTATAACTTATATGGTTAAAATAAAGTCTTTCATGGAACTATGAACAATTGAAAGAATTATTGTCCCCACAGGATTCGTCTTTAAGTTCTATGCACTGACAGTTTAAAAACTACACATTCAAGTCCATAATCATAAGTAAATCTCTTAATAAAGTTAGGAGGCTTTAATTATGAAAAAAGTTCACTTTTGTTGTTTAGGGAGTTGGTACTCTGAAAAACACATTTGACCACAAAATTTCAGAATTCAACTCGAAGTTGAATTTCAGAAATGTTAAGAATTTGAATAACAACAAAAACCATTTTTTTGATTTGCTATCACATATTAAAATTCACTCTCCGTGTTTTATAACTTAATGAATCGATTAATGATATGGCTGTGAGTCCTTCAATCTAACAGATAATCACTCCCAACATGATTTTCTCCATATCTAGGGCTCAAACCCGAGACCTTTGATTAAGGGTGGAACACTCCCACCACTGCACCACAACACCTAATGGTTGAATTAAGGTATTGTTACATGACTATATGGCATCTAGGAATAAAAGAGAAGTAGAAAAGATGATTAACACTACAAGGAAAAGAAGCAAAAAAAGAAAAGGAAGGACATATAATAAATATACAAAAGAAACATCATGTCCATTAATGTTCATTATTGCACTAGTTAACTGGATTATTACATCTCTTTACAACTAAAACTTAGGAGAAAAAAAGGCTTCCAAATTTCTCTAACTCATACAAACACTCCAAAATGAGGGTGGTAAAAGAGTCCACCACTGCATTGCAACAAAAGAAAAACAAAAATTCATCAATTAAAAAAAAAGGTAAAAATAATGGCCTCAAGGATATTATAGGGTCCCAAAGCTATGCTACCCTTAATTCACATTAACATAACAAAAAAAGAAGAAGCCAAGTTTAGAAATCCCTATGTACTAACAATGACCATTTGGGCTTTAGTCTAAGAAGTAAGAGCGCAATACATGATGTATGAGTTAGATTCACGTTACACAATCAGAACTTAAAAGAAAACTTATATTTAAGTGGAGAAAGGTAGAGAGATAGACTCATTATCCAATTCATCGAGTTTTGAACCATGTCAGCAATAGCGGATTCAGGATTTCCACCTAAGGGTGCTTGAAATTTGAACGTAGAACCTCAAGGTTAATTTTAAACCCCCTCAGCCACTAAAGTCTAAATCAACCTCTAATATTATGTTTAGGTCGTTCAAAATCTATATTTATGTTTATACATAACAAATACCATTTGCTGAGTTGCTTCGGGTGAATCCCCTCGCTATCCTCTAGATCTGCCCCTTACAGCCAAATGTTCAAGGGCTAACCTTTCAATGAAACTGTCCACCAGTGTATGTCTGCCCAAAAGACCAACTAGCAGGGGCAACATTCTTAGAGACTACACTATGTCCATCACTAGTAGTAACTTTAAATGAAAGGCTTTGTCCATTTAGTAAACTGTTGCTTTGCCAGTTTTGGCCCCAATTTCTTGACATAGATTGCCATTGTGTTTTCGATCCTTTAATGGCTACAGCATGAACATCACCAGCACCGCCAACGTTAGTCACAAGTACTAAGTTGAAGTAAGAGTGTCCATTGATTGTGAACCTGATGCCTCCCTTTCTTCTGCAGGGTATCCTGCAAGAGTTGACAATAGAGTTTATGTTAGTTGATTCTGTTGAAGGCATTTATAGGTGTGACCTAACGGTTAATGAAGCTAAAATGAATCGCGAGAAAAGAAGAGTTTAAATTCCAATAAAAGGCAAAAAGTGTTAGGTGATTCTTTTGTATCTTCTAAGTTTTGGTGAACAGAGTACCTATACTAGTAGCAGTGTCTGAGCGAGGATTTTCATTAAAGAGATTCAGAATATGAAGTAAACAGACAAAGAAGCCAAAAGGGGTTCAACATCTACTATATATACACAAAAAATTAACTTTAACCATATATAAACAATGAAATTTTTCTCTTAAGGAGATTCAGATGAACCCTCTCAGCCCTGCCAGGTAGGACGTAGGCAATATCTGGTGGACTAATTAACGACTCTGATCATTGACTGAACCTATGTGGCAACTTGAGCACCGAGTTGATTAAAGTCCGTGTGTTTCACGCATGTAACGAGCATCAACATGAAGTTTCGAAGGAAAATCACATAATCAAGCATTATTTGAACCAAATACAGTCAAACCTTTCTATAACAATATTTCAGTATAATGACCAATTCTTTTAGAATCAATTTTTCATGTTATATTATACTATATGTTATTGATCACAACATTTCACTATAGCAGCCAAAATCTATCCAAACAAATGACGTTATTATAGATAGTTTCGAATGTATGATAAAACCATTGAACATACCTTCTATAAGCAATAGGGACAATTCCAGCTCTATATTGGGCAATGTGCTGAAAAATAGGCTGAGAAAGGTCAAAGTGGTGAAGAGGAGGATTGCACCAGCCACCAGGTGGACATAAATTGGTTGCTGTTACTTTAATAGAACCTGACAAACACCATTTATGTTCATTCACACATTTAATCTCATAGCAAGATCCACAACTCAATCCATTGTTGAATAAAGCTGTGCTTAAAGCTGCAGTTTTTGTTCCATAACCTTGGTTGTATAGATTCCCATAACCACAAGCACCACCTGTTTGAAAATAAATGTAAATAAAGTTCCACACAAATCAACATTATTGATTGTTAGAACTTAGGTCGGCAATGTGAGCAACCTCACACAAGCGGAATTTACAAGAATTAATTTATTGTGAGTTCTATGATTTCGATTGCACCCTTTGAGTTTGCCGCGAGCTATGTAATATATATGCAAAAATCAATTAAAAGTATGACTATGACAAAGTCATAGTCATTCTTGAAACCGGAACTCTCCTTGTCTATACAGGCTTGAGACAGACAATGTGAGCAAGCTTACCTAGCCAAAACTAAGAACCAACATAAACAAAGACAAAATTATGGGGAGTTATATGAGTTCAATTGAACCCTTGATTTTCTCTTAAATTGTGTAATATATGTGCAAAAATCAATTAAAATAAATAAATGTAATGAGATCATACTCTTTTTTTTGTTTTTGAAAATTCACTAACTCTAGATTCTGAATTCACCGATATATTTTCTATATGATGCAAAACTCTTTTCCCTCCGATTAGCCTTATACCTACGAGGGATATTTTAGTGATAGATTATTCAGGAACATTACGATCCTATTTGGTCAAACACCTAGTAACGAACTCTGACATTTTCCTTTCTTTATAGTATTCCTATACAAGTTCCTAGCTACAAACTCTATATTCCATTCATTATAGTATTCCTAAACAAGTTCAATGATAACAAACCTAAAAGATTTGGTGATAATGATGTTATTGATGATAGTTACAACTCAAATACTAGTGACGATATCGATTGTGACCTTGATATGGAACTAGAGAACTACCAATTAGGTTTGCATACCCATTGTCCCTGAGGCATCACCACCTCCATAGAATGTAGCATGAGCATTGATCCACTTTCCTTTACCATATCCCTTGACAAATGAGGCAATTGCAAGAAAACAAACTAGAAATATCACAATATGAGCCATATATATTCCTGCATTAAAGTTTGGAACTTTTTTATTAGCACTTTCTTTAGTATACACTAAATTTTGGAAATGTTCAATGTTCATTCTACCAAAACAAGGAAAATGTAAGAGAAATGAATATTTGAAAGTTAAACTGTTACTTAATATAGAAATGTGTCATTTTTTATGAGACTGACTAAAAAAGAAAATGAGTCATATAAATTAGGACAGATGAAATATTTTATTGGAGAATGTAGCTATGCAACAAAGAGTAAGTAGAGATTTAGTTTAGAAAAAATTGAGTGTGTTAATAAGAGGATGGATGTAAATAAGCATTTCGAAATAGGGGAGATGGTTACTCCGTCCATCAAAGTTTGGATATATGAGAAGAAATTATCGATTAATACTGGTGAAGCTAGTAGGTACTATATAAAATTAGTCGAGGTACGCACGATTTGAGAATGATAAAAAGAATTGCATGACTTGGAGTAATTGATTGACCATTTCAAGGCTGGGGTACCTAAAACTGTCCCATATGAGGCTATGAGCTAGCTGCTCAAAAAAATAAAAAAATAAAAAAATAAAAAATTTAAAATAATTTAATTTTAAATTTTTTATTTTATCTTAGTAAAGATAATTCACATTACAACTACATAAATGTCTATAGTTTGTTTTAAGTACAATTTTCAAAATTCTTCCTTTTGTCAAAAAAAAAATTGTATCCAATTAAATAATACTCCTTCTGTCAAAAATATTTTAGATCACTTTTTTTTTATGGGTACATTGATTAGAATTTTAACTTCACATTGATCTTAGAATATACTCTTTCAACATTTTGAAATCATCACATCTACATCACTATGTTGAAAATAGGACTAACTTCTTCACTCTACGTTGAGGCGAAATTAGAATTTTAAATTTATAGATTTTGAATTTCAGAAAAATAATTTAGTTATTAGATTTTATCAAATTTGTAAGTTGAACGGTAACTTTGCCCTTGATCCATTTAAATATGGAACTGTATATCTTGGGAAATAACAGCGAAAATGGTTCATTATGTTTGGGAGTAGGTTCGAAGGTGTCATTAAATATACTTGTGATATATTTCGAATCTTTTAAAATTGTCAAAAGTGAATACTTTTGATTTTCCGTCAAGTGTTTTAATGAATTTTATCTGTTATATTTGACAAAAACTTTGAAATTTTTTTTTTTTTTTTACAGAAACTCAAATTTGGAGGTGTAACTTTTTGCAATTTTCGCTATTTATATAAATCGACTTCTAAAGTGGTATAATTTTTTATGTACATATGTGATTACTTAATATTATAATCTTTTATGTCAACTGTGCGTTGTTTTTTGTGTTTGAATTTCTAGCATTCAATGAAAATACTAAAAAGTTGTTTTTACTCAAAATTACTAGCAAAAATTTGAAAAATAATTTTACTTTAGATGCATTACCAAACATAACTTCAATTCTAAATACTCCCTCTATTTCAAATTAATTAAATTGTTGAAACATTTTTCTTTTTTCAAATTAACTTAATTGTTCAATTTTCAAGACTACTTAGAATGTTCTTCCAATTTTACCCTTCATTAGTTAGCATTGGAATTAGTTATTAATTAATCTTTAGTTATTTTAATCATAAATTTGACAATAATTAAATAGGATAAAAATGGAAAGTTATATCTAATTTATGTCTTAATCTTCTTTTCGCGTGAAACACCTCAACAATTCAATTAATTTGAAATGGAGGGAGTATCATTTTTACTTTATAAATTTAAATTATATTTTTTTTTCAAATTTCATTATAAGTAATTAGCTAATAAAAGTCACTTGTCGATTTTAAGACAAAGTCAACAATTATTACAATAAGAAAAAAAACGCATTCTAAGTAATTCCAAATCAAAACGACTCCTTTTGAAAAAGAAAACACAAAACATATATAATACCTAGAACATGAGTGCTCTCATAACATTATACGATCAACAATATAATTAATTTACCATATAGTATATTCAGTGGATGAATACCATATAGAGCGTGCTATTATATACTATGATTTTCAGAAAACTCAGTAGAAAATTAATTAATTATTTTGAAATGTACCTTAATCAAGTCATAGCATGATGTTCTTGACAAGATCATATTAAACAAGATTGTTTCTCCATTACAAAGATTATATTTTTTGTTTATGTCATTTTAATTCTCCCTTTTTTACTTACAAGAAACTAAACATTATGGATGAATACCACATAATTCATTATTGGAATAGAGAAATGGGTGGTTATATAAATGGCCCATATTATAAGTTACTTATATTCATCAAATAAGTGAGTTGTTACAAAGCTCTATCATATAAGCCACAATTAAAATAAATATGCATTTGCTTCTCTCTTATATATATTTGCCTTTTCATATTTCTGTTGACAATAAATTAATAAAATAAAATAAAAAGGAACTTGAGTAACAACTACAATAATATACTCAATGGAATTTCATTAAGTGGAGTTTCGGGAGAATAGATTATACGCAAATTTTATCACTATCTTGAGAAGGTAGAGAGACTATTTTCGAAAGACCATCAACTCAAGTGCATCAAGTCCAAGTAAAAGAAGAAGAAAATAATGGGAAAAAACATAGCTGATAATAAGAAAAGCAATGTAAAGTCTACAAGAGAAAAATAATAACAATAACAAAATAGTGTGCTATTCAAAATATAGTACACATCATATATAACAATAACTATAGAGGAACTTGAATAACACAAACACGTTTTTCGCATAAGGTAAAATTTGAGATTAATTTTTGTTAAAAAAAAATAGGTTGATTGAAGATGATATCAAACCTTGCTCGTTAAAAAAATCATAAATAATTGAACAATACAAGTAAAATTTGTCATTAGCAATAGTTGTGAAAAAAATTAATGAGATGAATAGAATGAATATTGTATTAAAATTATATCATGTTTTGACGCCTAACATAACATGTGAACCACTTCTCTAGTCTTTTGCATCTTAATGAGCTCTAAGTTATTATCTGACTTACCAATAATATCACTAGAACCACTTTCTGACTCAATATCAGTGTCATATTCACACTCAACCAAGTATGTTTGGTTGGTTTGTTAGCATTTTAATATTAATATTTTAATATATTAATTTGCTTTATTTTGGAGTTAGAAGAATGTTGATTGTTTCAGCAGTAAGTGGGCAGTTTCATTTCTACCTTTGCATACGTTTGTTGACTTTCATTTGCAGAACGTGGGGAGTAATGGCTTTTGGCCGTTGGTGGCACTTAGTGCTGCTTTACTCCATTTGGAGTTACTGTCTGTTATGTTACAATTCCAATTCTTGATTATTATGTGTGAGCAGTGATATTTTATTTCCCTTAAGCAGTCATAGTTCAAGTCTGAGACCACTACGACTCTGGAGTAAAAGTTACTGTTTCACTAAGTGGAGGTTCAATGCAGAGCACACCTTCATTATGCATAGTAGTCTTCCTTCAGCTGATTTACTCTCTAATATAATATTAAAATGAGTGGGGATTGTTGGTTTTGTGTTAGCATTTTAATATTAATTTGCTTAGTTTTTGGGATTAAAATATTATCGTTTGATTGACTTTCTCATATGCTACAGAAGTAATGACAATTATTTCTTGCTTAGTGCATTACTCCGTACTGAATATGTTACTAATTCTTTGTTGCATGTCACCAACGGTTGGCTTGACCATTCAACCAAGAGAAACTTTTGTAACTTCTCATATATTATTTCTTTTATTCTTTCTCCATTATACCTTGTAACCTATGTAACTTCTAAGACCATTTATCTTCACTATTTACCACTCAATTATCTTCCTATTTAATTCTAGAAAGATTTCTCTTAGTATAAATAGTGGTGGTCTTCATTTGGTTTGGGACACAATACACACAAGAAAAATATGAAGTGCATAAAGTTGAGAGTTCTTATTAGTTGAAGGGAGGTGTTTCTTTTTGTAGAGCTTTGGACTCAACTCTTGTCCAGAGTTGTTGAGTTATACTTTGTGTTAAGGTTGTTGTATCCTGGAGGGGACAAGTCAAAAAGGACTACTGCTGGACCGGTGAAAACATTTGCTGCAGTGGGCTTGAATCTCTTTAAAGAGAGCGAGATATCCGCGCCTCAGCCTAAAGAGATTTATTTTCAATTGTAATCTTGTATTTTTGTTATCTTGTAAGTTTTCACTAACATGTTTCATTATAGTGAATAATATTTGGCATAATTAAACAGTTCCTTCAAAATCATCAACAACAATGAAATGAACTGCCTTGAACTGTTAATTTAATAAGTATTGAAGTGTCCTAATACCTTAAGATCCTTCAACTAAGTAAAATTTCCGAGAAGTCCTTTCACAAGTAGTTGCTTCTAGGGTTGGACATATTTCGGTTCAAATCGAAAAAACCAATTGAACTGATTTCTTTTTAAATTTCAGTTATGATTTATTCGGTCAATGGTATCAAAATTTAAAATTTTGATTATTCTGTCAGATTTTTTATTTTTAACTATTTAAATTTGATTAAACCGAAAAACTGAATGTAATTATTTCACTAATCCCTACGGGCCTATGCTCTAAAATCAAAACGCCTAGTCTGAAACTCTAAAATCTCAACTTTCGTCTTTGAAGTCGCACTAGCTAGGCGGAGCTAGGTGTGGGTTCGGACGAACCCACTAGCTTTTCCGTAAAGTTTGTATTTGTATTAAAAAATTAATAAATATATATGTATATTAACTTGTGAACCCCTAATAAAATTGATTGGCAGTTCAATGGTAAGGAAGAGCGGTGAAAATGCTTTTCACACATTTGTTGTGGGTTAGAACCCCCAAACTCCTAATTCTTGTTCCGCCTCTATCTGAAGGAGTTATATTAATATAGCTAGTGCCTAATGGTAATTTACATTGGTGAAAACTTGAGATGCATAAGCAAAATTTTTCTTCAGTAGCAAATGGGGCAAGAAGTGTTTGTGTTGTGGCACATTTTTAAGTTTTGA